GGTAGGTACAATCCACAGGAGCGAAGTATGGTTGGAAGAAATTCGTAGCAGGGCATTACACAAATGATGGAGAGAGGAAGGGAGTAAGTGGTATATGGCAATGTGGGTGGAGAGAGATTTAATCAAGATGAGCCGTAAGCTGGGAGATGTAGCAAAAGGACGCTTCTATGCTGGAGCAGAGCCTCTCAAACTCGCGCTTGGCAGTAGGGCTTACGTCGTTGGATGTGCTGTCGGGCGTAGAGCCTTCGACGACAAGGTCCAACTTGGACGAGATGTTGGCGGGCCGGGTACCAGTGAATACATCGTCAGAGCTGGGTTGAGGGGTGGAGGTAGGCGGTTGGTCGAGGAAGAGGGCGAAGGAAGGGTCGTTCACGTCAATATCAAGGTCAGCCGGCGCAATGGAAGTAGAGACCTCTTCTGTGGGAGCTTCGGTCACCCTAACGCCAAAAGGCACAGCGTCGATGGAAGGGATGGCATCCTTAGCTTCATCAGAAGGAAGGGGGCCGACACGGTTGGAGCTCTTGCCAATGATGAACCCCGTGTCGGGAGAGGGGACAGGGACGTCAAGAACCGCAAAAACGGATGGGTTGGTAAAGTTGAAATCAATTCCCGAGTTCCAGCCTTGGTCATTAAGGTCAATGGAGGCAAAATCAAATCCCTGTTCGGGGATGGCGGGCAGGCCAGTCTGAAGGTTTGGTACGGATACATCCTGGGTAAGATGCTCGATACCTTCCTGCTTGGTCACGGTGGGTTGGCTGGCAAGTTGAAGGGCGGGAGCCTGGGTCTGAGGCTGGGCTCCGAGGTTCGGCGGAAGTCCGTTTGTACTCAATTCGTCGAGGAAAGGTGCAAAGTGAGACGAGGAGAGCAACATGCGGGTGAAGTCAGTGAGTCTGGCGTTTTCTTGAGTGAGGGCATCGTTACGCAGACGGAGTTCGTTGGCCTCGTTGGTTTTGGCAGCAACCTCGCCTTCAAGCTGGCCGATGTACTCTATAGCCATTTTTAAGTCAGTGTGCTGTACTAGACCGAATAGGGAGAGAGAAGAATACATTGGGGGGGCAAACCTTTTCGTCTTGATCGGAAAGCACGGGCAGAGACCTTGTTACGGAGCTGTCGTCGTTCCTTGCTGCTAAGCTTCTTACCCTCTTCACTGGCTAGCAATCGCTCGTCCTCGTCCATGTCTTGTTCGTCCTTTTTATATTTGGTAGGTTGTGGCAGAGTGCAGGACTGCTCGGTGTTGTCCTGGCTGGTAACACTGTTCTGTCTCATTTGCTGAAGAAGACGAGAGATTCTCTCCTGTACAGCAGGATCGGTGTTGCGGTTAAGCTTGGCCTGGGGTTTGATTCCCTGCTGGTTACCTTCCACAGCGGCCTGACGTTGCTGTGGGGGCTGTTGTTGTTGCTGCTGCTGCTGCTGCTGCTGCCGCTGGAGCATCTCTTGTCTCTGCTGCAGGGCAGCCTTGGCTCTGGCGGCTTGCTGCTGATGGATTCCAGGATAGACACGCCTAGCCTGATTTGTGGGGGCGCTGTGAGGCATCTCCTGTCCCCCGAGGGCACTTGGATCAACAAACTGGGCCTTGGTGGCCTGAGAAGGCATGATATAGGCCTCGGAGTCGGCAAAACTCTCGTCAATGTCCATCTCGGTCGAGTCCTTGAGAGGTAGGGCAGGTAGAGAGTGCAGTGGTTGACCCATTCGGCCGTACAGGCCGTCGACGGGGTGGACCATGCCAACAGGATCAAAGCCGAAATTGTTCAGTGCCATGGTGTTGGCAAGACCACCGGGAGGCAGACCTGTCTGCTGTGTGTAGGAGTTATACTGGTGACTGGGAGCCTTGTAGTGAGGCTGCTGTGGACTGGAGGCGGTGGTGGACAGAGCAGGCATTTGCTGCTGCTGCTGCTGCTGCTGCTGCTGCTGGACGAAGCCGTGTTTGTTGGAGGCCTTGCCGTCCGAGCCTGACGGAGAGACAGAGGGCGAGGGATACATTGTCGGTTCAAGGTTGATAAAGGAGTCCATGTCTACCGGGACGTCGAAGGACTGCTGGCTGGAGAGAGGCGAGAGGGCGGATGATGGCATGGGCAGTTCTCCCATCGCAGCCATGGTGACGGCCTCGTTATCACTATGCTAGGCTGCTCCAAGTCGTTTCGATCGATTGATATCGAGTGCTGCTATGGTGACGGTGATGATACTGCTGATGTAGTTGATGTTGATACTGTCGATGGTTGTTGATGGTAAGTTGAAGATGTTGAAGTTGCAAAAGAAGAGAAAGTCGTCTCAGCGCCAAGAAAACCCGCCCTATTAAGTAACTCCTGAAAAGGGTAAAAAAAAAAAGGGTGGCCACGCGTCCTCCTCGGTGAGCCTGGCGTATCGCCCGATACGGCCTGTAACGCCCGTACGCCAGATCCTGTAAGCTTGGCACGACTCCGCCCCCCCTTTCGGCCCCTGTCTCCACCGGGACTCCAGCCAATAATGGCGCTCCCAGCCCTGCCGACCCACCTGCCGGTCCCGTACGGTCTGACAAAACAACCTAATTATAGATTACCCCGTATCCTTAATACATCAATACACCAATACGTCTCTTACATCTCTGTATGTCTATCGATGAGCAGGATAAAGAAGGGAGCGAGCATCAACACCGGAAGTGATTCTGTTCAAGCTGAGGGCCAAACGGTGCTGCTTACTACACGGAGTGCTGTGTCGAGTGCTGGAGGCGCAAGATGCTGACCGCTCTGACACACCAGTGTGGGCCGCAGGATGGAGATGAAGAAAAAGGAGGCTGTGCCGACTATGTATAACTGCTGCTTCACGACATGTTCACGTGATCAAATGGATTAGATAATGATAAATCATAATCACGTGATATTCAGGGGGAGAAGATGAAGATGAAGGCGAGGATGAGAGACGATCAAGAAGACGATAAAAGAGAAAGATGATACATGTTAGAGAGTATACCATGCCGGTATACTTCTATTCATATGAAAGGCCACTGGATACCGTCATGAAGAACACCGTCTGGCGACCACCCCCTCCCCCAAGCTGAAGGAGATGCTCCGATACCCTCTCTCGATATACCACAGGAATCTCTTGTATCTACTCCGTACATCTAGACGATGTATAGAAGAAGATGAACATGGCGATGCCTTCTATCGTTTCTATGGATCCACCTGCTGATGGTGGACAAGAGTTCCCCCTTTGCTGGTCCAGATGGTGGAAGGACTAAACCATCCTCGTCCATACAACGACGTGTATACATGTCTGCTATCATGATGTGTATACACATGCCCTCACAATGTGTGATTCCAGCGAGGCCTGTTATACATATATATGTATATATATGTATATGAGATAAGGTGATGCAGTCAAGCCGGTTTCATCCCACTCAGCCTTCATCTCATTCGCTGGCCAATCCTTGCGGTGCTGCATAAACATCCATACATCCATACATTTACATCCCCTCGTCCGTGAATCATCAGTCGCATGAAGAAGCATATATAAATATTCCAGCAGCCTCTACCGCACGTCTTTCTCTTTTGTGGCGGGGCAGAAGAGTAGAAATAAGTGACTCTCCTACCAGATCCTTAAACGGTTTACGCTGCTGCCATGTCTCATCAAGCAACCGAGTCCCTTTACGACGAGGTCTTCCTCGACTACGAGAACAACTACCATAACAATGAAGGGCTAAAGGCCTTCGTTCGAGAGGCGGCCTCCAAACTGTCCTCGGGTGCAAAGGTGCTCGACGTCGGCTGCGGAACCGGCCGTCCCATAGCTGAGGCCCTCTGCGCGGCCGGACTCGATGTGACGGGCATCGACTTGTCCACGGAGATGGTCGAGCTGTGCAGGAAACGTTTTCCTTCGGCAACCTTCATCAAGGCAGACATGACCAAGTTTCAACCCCAGCCGCAGCAGAAGTTCGATGCCATCTTTGCCGTCCTCTCTCTCTTTCACGTCTCCCACCGGGAATGCTACTCCATGCTGTACAGATTCTCCCAGTGGCTAAACAGAGGCGGCTTCCTCTTCATCACCACAATTTACAGCTACGACCTGGTCGATCGAGGCGCCAGGCCTGACAGCTCCGGCATCATCGATCTCGCCGACTGCCAGTTCTTGTCTCGAGACGTCCCCTTGACGGCCCTGTCTGGCGAGAAATGGACAGAGTACCTGACGGCTGCCGGCTTTGTTGGCTTCCAGGCGACAAAGTACGACTTTCAGCCTGCTGACCCGAACCTGAAGGTCGCCCATCACCACTTCATCACAGTGAAAAAGGGGGACCGGCACCCGTTGATGGGGCCCTACCCTTATCCGGATAAAGTCCGTGGCCCATACCCCTTGAACAGAGAGGCATACAAGTCCTTCTTGAAGAGGCTAAATGACGCAGAGTCAAAGGCTCTGGCCGCTATGCTAGAGAAAAACACCAATACCCTCAGAATCGGTAAATACTACTCCCACCACCCATGATGACTTGGCTCCCTTATTTACACTTTCATGCTAAGCATCTATCTCTAGACCCCATTAATCGTGGCGAATCATTCCCCTTCGGCTCCAAAGAATGCCCTAGCCACTTCGACTCTGTAGTCTTATCCCGGGCCCTTGACGGCCTCGATGAGCTTGAGCAGCCGCTTCGGGAGATAGCCCGGGCGACCAATTCGGCCTCTCCAGAGGCCAAGATAATTATCATCCAAGCATCTCCGGATAGTGACTTGCTCAAACAGGTCAACCTCATCTGTCCTGCAAAGGCCAGCAACAAAGCCCCGATGCACCACGGACTCATCCTCCACCGCGCTGCTGAAGTCCTCAAGGCAAACGGGTTTGGCAACATAGAGCTTATCCAGATAGCTGACAGTGCATGTAATTTCCCAGAAGAAGACCTGGCCGCTCGCTGCCAGAGTGCCGCCACCTTGTTTGCAGACATGCTCTACAGTGAAGAAGCCGACTTGCAGGGCATCAAGGATGCGCTCGCTCCTGGGATGGAGGCTGTCTTCAAAGAGACTCCCCACGACATTGGCACTCAGTCTGTGATGTTGGTGGCTAGGCCGGCTTAATCGGCGAACTACAAGCTTGCTATGTATATCAGGTAGAATACTAGTTATCCGTAGCCCATAAAAGTCGATCTACTTGATCCCTGGCTGAGTGTAGCATGGTTTGTTCGACCTGGTTAGACATCATAAAGCAACATCCTACGGTTCCTCGATGTCTCGTCATATGGACATCGACTCAATAATCAGACCACACACCCACGCCACTTTTGGTCGGTTACCACAGTATATATATGTCTACCCCATAAGACTAACGATATTTTAAGTCACTAAAGACCATAAAGTACACAACATGTCTGTTCCTCGTGTGCTTCTTCTAGGCGGCCATGGGAAGATCTCGCTGCTACTGACGCCTCTGCTGCTCGCCCGCGGATGGGACGTTGTCAGCGCTGTCCGCGATCCGAAACACGAACCGGATATCCTCAAGTTCAACCGTGACGATAGTAAGAGCGGGAAAGTGACCGTCTCGCTGTCTGACCTGGAGAAGATCAAGAGCAGCGAGGATGCTGCAAAGGTCATCTCGGCTGCCAACCCAGACTACATCGTCTGGGCCGCTGGTATCTTACTCTTCACGATACAACCACGAAATGATATAGATATGGGTATATACTAACACAAGATAGGAGCTGGAGGCAAAGGCCCCGTGGACCGAACATATGCCATCGACCAGGAAGCAGCCAAACACTTCATCCACGCCGCCATGTCCCAGCCCAGCATCACCAAGTTCCTGCTCATCTCTCACATAGGCAGCCGCCGCAAGCCCGCTCCCTGGTGGACGGCCTCAGACCGGGAATCCGTAGACCGCATCAAAGCCGCAATGCCGGACTACTACAAGGCCAAGCTCGACGCAGACGAGTACTTCTCCGTCATGGCTGTGCAGCGCAAGGAGAAGCATGGAGACGCCCGCTTCCAGGCAGTCAACTTGCGACCTACCACCCTGTCTGACGACCCGGCGACGGGGACGGTCGAGCTTGGCCGTACCGGCACTGGAGACAGCGTACCTGTTTCGCGCGCGGACGTGGCCATCGTGGCTGACGAGGTTCTGGCCAGGTCTGATATTCGAGGATATCAGGATCTGATTAGCGGTAAGACGCCTGTGAAAGAGGCGGTTGAGAAAGCTGCCCGGTCTGGTCTTTGCTGCTTCGAGGGAGAGGATCTCGAGGCCATGCGTGAAAAGTTCAAGGGGCAGTCCCTCGGTTGAATTTTGTATAACTAACAGGTAGAGCAAGTATGATGAATGGCTCCTATCAAGTATCACCTATGTAAGCCGATAATTGAAGGCTGTTTGACCTATTCAACGCCGGGAACATGTCGTAGGCACCATTTACTCGGCTATGTTCTACATGGCGATGCAAGTTCAGGTTCTGGCTGGGGCTGTGATGATTTCACTACCGCGTTTAAATGTAAAAATAGAATGAATCAATTACTACTGTTCTAAGCTACGGTACTACGCAGGTAGACAACCGCAGGGCCGGCAAGTCGTGGCGTAGATGTAAACATCTGTATTCCCTGAGGCTGCTGAACCTAGGGGATGGGTGCCCAGCCTGTGTCAGCTTGGGCTGAAGAGAAAATATAACCACTAGAGAGCCAGCGAAGAGGCAACGGGAACGGTGCTTGGATTATGGTATCTGTCGATAGTAGGCCAGGATATATGGAATTAAAGGGGGTACACGCTGTGCATCTCATTTGTTTCCTTTGGCACGCAACTGAAATGCTGAGAAGAGGAGATTACTGTACACAAGAAATGTTGACCCGCTCGAGGAATGCAGAGATTCGAAGGTAGATGGAACAAACGAGGGAAGGCAATAGGGAGGTTAACACTCTTCTGGTGTTGTTTCTAGGAATTTTGTGAGGAGAGGCTGATGGGCTTCGGCATGGATGGCGTCTGCCACCCGTAGCCTCATGTTGTCAAATGCTAGGACTATAGGTGGATTGTTGGTAGATGATGGGCTCTTAGCCCTGTGGCTGGAAGTTGACCGGGTTGGTCTTGTATTAGTTTGTGCCGCCGTCTCCTCGGACAGCGTATAGTCTTCCTCCGCGTCCTCAGATGTAGGAATATCACGGACCACCGAAGGAGCCTGGCGCGGTTTCTGGTCCGCAGCGTTTGCCCTGTTGTTCCATGCCTTGGGTGGCTGGATATGGACCACCTTTGCATTCGCTATGTCTGGCATCTTCCGATACCGCTGGCTGAAGTGCGTTAACACAATCACCTTTGCCTCCATTTTAAGGCCGACGGTCATGGCCTCGCTGACGGTCGAGTGTCGCTTAGCAACTGCATCTGAGATCATGTTATCGTCAAATGTAGCTTCGTGAATCAGAACCGTGGACCCACGACCCATTTCGATGAAGCGAGTAGACGGTCGGCAGTCACCCGAGTACGACACTTTGAATCCGGTTGGAAAGACAAAAGACACTGCTTTGGCGCCCTGACAGTGAGATACAGGGGTGGTGAGGATAGCATCGAGTCCGGTGCCCTGTTTCAGCAACGTAGTAAGATGGGATTGTTCATCGTCGAATTTCAATCGAGTTCCCAAGTGCTTCCCTTTATCCGAAATGGCAGCACCGTTCCTCTGGCGGCGATGAAGGGTATAGCTATAGTCCGTTTTACCATCAGACTGTTCAAACGAAGATGCGGCAAGTGGGATGATTTTATCATATCCGTAGTTTTCAACATTTGCATATTCAGCCATCCACTGCAGCATGTGGTGCGCTGAGATAACGTAGAGTCTCCTCTCCCGGAGTATCTTGGATACATCAGCCTCAGCGATGTCCATGTTGGAGGCTATAGTGGACAGGCTTCCGTGAACAGCTTCATGCCACGCTTTTACCACCGAGACAGTCCCCAAATGATGGTCTGCATGCAAATGGCTGATCCAGATAACCTTGAGCTCGCGAAGAACTGCTTTCAATTCTTCCGGCCCAAAGATCCGCTTCAGCTGGCCGAGTGTACCTTCACCAGCATCAAATAGATAATTACCGTGCCCGGGGACCCGCAGCAGGGTCCCAGATACGTTTCTATACCGAGATGGACAGGACGATCCGGTACCGAGAGCGATGACTTCGGCATCCCCATTGGGGATGGCTTTCGTCAAGCTCTCAACTCTCTTTTGCACACCTGGCTGCGTCAGTATCTCTCCCATGATCCTAGAGTAGCTATTTCTCCGAGGTGCCTTGCCCGACTTTGGTGCACTAAGGGGCTTTGGCACTGAAGTAGTAATAAGCTTAACGCTGGGCTCAAGGTCGATGGTCAAGTTTGGCTGGGCAATATTGATGGAATCCTTGGTGTCTGCAGATGCAAAGGTATTCACAGATGCCTTGGCTTCATTGTTGCAAAAGGGTGTTCGATATCTGACACCATCTATTGCCGCAAACTCTATAGTAGCGTTAGACACTGCTGGGAAACCATAGCTGTCAGGGCAGTAATCCGGAGACGAAACGATATGTTTGTATTTGGACATTTTCGCAACGAATTCCCGAAGGACCGGGTGTCCGCCGACGCCAGGCCCAAGGATCCAGATGAACACCTCCATGCCCTTCATAACCTCGGGGTTGTCCCATTCTTTGCGATTCACTACACTCTGGATATAATCGGTAGAAGGTAGCTCTAAAACGGCGAACCCCTTGCCCGGCCTGTTTTCCCCAAGAACCATATCAGGGGTGATTGTCTTTCCATCTGCTGCGATTACTGTTTCTCCCATGGCTAGTTTCTTAAAGTCCGACTTATCTGCAATGTTGAGAGATTCTGCTCGTTTCCTGTCAAACTTGCCTCTAGCATCATGGCCACGGACGATATAGGAGACTGCACAGTCTGAAGGACTGGTTGCCGGTAAGGAGTCAACCATCGCACCTGGCCAGGGTTGTCGAACAAGAACATTGATATCCGGCAGAGGTTCTCCATCGCCAGGCTTGGGGCCTTCATACGGCTTTACCTCCCCCGAATTTGCATCACGGATAAAGAGAGTGGCTGGAAGGGACACTTCAGCCAAGGGGGTTTCAACCAGTGTATCCAGGCGCCATTGCGAATTGAACATGTCGAGGACGATTTTCTGCCTCGTCACCAGGTCTTGATCTCGAGCAGCCTTCGTCGCAGCAGCCTCTCCCGTCTCTTCGAATTCTTCTAAGCTCCTCTTCCCTGGCTGTGGTCTCGGTAAAGTAGATGGGTAAATAGGTAGAGCCCAGACTTTGATGTGATCGTCCGACAAAACTGGCTTAGAAAGGTCAACGGCTGACGCATCGTTCTCTTCGTTACTGACGCCGCCAAACTCGCGGATTTCGATCGGGACACCCGTCCGGCAAACAAATGTTCTTCCTGTAGCCAGAGTATGCGTCAGGTTAGGCCCGCCGTACAGAGATATCGCTCGCTGGCCATGAAACTCTGGCAGGGCTTCAAGCTCCAGCTTGCGCCGCTTTACCCGCGCCATCAACTCGTCAGCATCCCTCTGACGCACCGCTGACTTTGCGCGTTCTTCAAGGTTCCTGATCTTCCGAGTCTCGGCTTCCACCATGGCACCTGACGCAGACGCCATAGTGTCTGACAATGTCAGAAGCATGCCCAGCATTCCCCCATTGCCAGACCAAGTAGTCTTGCCGGTCAGAAAGACCTCTGAGAGCTTAGATAGCCGGACATTGTTCTCGATGCACGCTCGCTGTGTGCCTTCAGACAAGTTCCCGAAAAAGTACCGCTTATCGTCGTAGTGGAGGAACAGAGTGGTCCCAGGCGTATCAGAGGTTGGGGCCGTAACAAACTGGATAAACGACTTCATCCTTTTGGCACCAGGTGAGGACTTCTCCTGCTCTATAGATGAATACTGTGAGAGACGTCTGTCTTCGAGAACCCAGGAATACTTTTGTTTTATGCGATGTCCACGGCGTTGTAATACCCAGTCATCGAGGTAATTGGGGCCAGTTGTGTGGAACTGTCGAGCGGGCGCAAATATACGTTCAAATGGAGCAAAGACAGAAGTCCAATGGTGTTCGAACTGGCGCTATCAAATAGATATAAGCATACGGAATCACCTGAAGTAGTCGAAGAGACTGTTGTGGAAGAGTAAATAGAGAGAGGGTTTGATACGACTCACCTTTGCCAGAACTCTCTGTAAAGCAGCCAATATGCCGGCTCGAAGTGGTTAACATACAGGGACCAAAAGAAGCAACAATAACAAAACGCGGCGCTAACATTGGAGGGAAAACAACAACAATCAGCTTTCAATGAGCATGACTTTCAACTGTTTTCCAGCTTGCGACTTTATAAGATTTACGACTTTTATTCGTAGAGATTTTTTGTAATTTTTTTTGGATACAAATTGGTTGCTTACTCAGCGTTTATCGATAAGAGATGCGATAAGGACATTCTAACATTATTTATGTACAAACGACTGCACGATGAGTATATATTAGTAGCCGGCTGGCTGCTGCTCTCCTTCGGGGAACATGCCCTTGTCGAGATTCATGCCACACTCTTGTCGCCAGTCGGCAGGCGTAAACTTGTCGACAATCTCCTTGAACGCCTCCAGCGTGCAGAAAGACTTGTCTCCAGGCAGGTGGTTGGCTGGGTTAGCTGCGCAGCCAGGGATAGTAACAGGTTTGTCGTTGTAGCGAATGCGGACGTAGTGCTTTGATAGCGAAGGCTGGCTGGCCTGGGAGGAGCGAGCGAGACTAGCAGGCTGGCTGGCTGGCTGCTTTTTCTTACCGTTGAGAAAGGAGAGGAAGGACGGCTTGTCTGATGCTGGCTTCTGGGTGGACGGCCCAGAGAATTCTTCTAGGACCAGTCCCGCCGGCGATCCGGACATCCCACCGGCCGGCTCAGAGACGTCCTTGAACAACTCCACCGCAATAGAGGAGGTGTAAGGGGGCCATTTTTCGTCCTTGAATGCGCCGATGCTGGCCAGCATGGAGGCAAGAGTGGTATCGTGGCAGCCGCTCATTGCTAGTTTGACGGCTGGACTTTCCCCTCCTGATGGAGATGCAGCAGCCATTGGTCTCCAGCCATTGTAGGCAGCGGTATGAACCATTCTCTCAACAACGTCGCCCATGAGTGCACCGATGGCAAGCTTGCGGTACTCTCTGCTCTCCTGGGCTCCGGTAAACCACTCATCAACGGCTATCTTGTCAGCAATATTACGGGCCTTTGGGTCGTAGAACTCGGCTGGCAGACGGGTATTGGGCCCGTGCGCGTAAGTAGAGGCAACTGTATCCATGATGCCAGAGAGCCGGGGGCGCGAATCAACAGCAACGCGCGGAGAGTCTGCAGGCATCCACTTTGACCAGGTGGAGTTGAGATATGCCATCTCTTCCGAGTCATTCCCTAGGGAGGTCAGCTGGAGGACAAAAAGAAATACGAGTATAAGAAGGGAAAAAAAAAAAGGAAATGAAGAGGGCAGTTACATTTATCTGCGGCACGCTGAGCAAAGAGCCTTGCCAGCTGTCTGAACCGGTGGCAGCCTCCCTCGTTGGGGAAGAGGGTCTCCTCAGCAGCTGACCTGACGACGATGGATGGCCGGACGAAGTCTGCAGTTCTGGCACTCGGCGGGTACATCCCCCAGAAGGCACTCTGCAATGACTCCAGGGCCCGTGGGATAGGAGTTGATCGGAGGTATATGTTATCTGTATTCGATATGATCTCGGGCATGAAGCCAAGCCGCTCAACGTAAAGGTATCTGAGTCTCTGGCCGAGTTCGAAGGTGGTCTGGCGGCCTTTATCAGTCAACTCTCCAAGCTGGCTGTTACCGAAGATTATCAGCAAAAAGAGGTGCCCGGTTGAACAGCGACGTATACATTATGTGGAGTATCTACCAGATGCCGTCGACTTCTCCCTTAGGCCCAAGCGCAATGACGGGCTCGTCCGCGTCTCCGAAGCGTTCCATCCTTCTTTTCCACTGGAAGGTATCCCAGGTAGAGAGGTCCTGCCTGGACGATGCCATGGCAGCCAACCGGGAAGCGATGTTGCAGTACGGCCAGTCTGTGTCAAGATTGAATATTTAGATACCCGGGAAAGGTGAAGAGGGAGGGTGGCCGAGAGTCAAATACATGGGTGCAATCCAGTCTACCAAGTCATCAAGTTAGCCAATTGATATAATATATATATAAATAGGAGGTACCCTACATTCTGGAATCTCGTAGAGACAGGAGTTCGTTCTCCTATTGTAATGTTAGTAGGCAAAGCTCATGCCAGCCCATCGCCGTTCAAACGCCATACCATGTCGTAGGAACTACAGAGCCAAGTTAGTCAGGCAAATTCACTAGCCAGTAGAGGGGAAAAGATGGTGAAAAGCCGCAGACTTACTATCTGCACCAACTGGAGCTCGAGTCTCTTGGGATAGAGCTGCCGGAGCTCCTCGTTGGTGTAGGGGGGGCGGGGGACAAGTGTCGTCATCGGTGCAGCTCTCAACTATTTATCATTAAAATGGTTATAAGAATATCACCACGGTTCTGCCTGACCTGAGGACGTGCAAGAGATATAGCATCCAGTCTTCCTATGGCCGTTCTAGTTCTTCGTCTTTTATCTTCTTCATCGTCGTTGTCTTTCTTCCCATGCTTGGCCTGCCTGAGTCAGCCAACATCGTAACCGACAACCGACAATTAAATATTGGTGTGAATAGAGACCCGAATATCATCATGCTAGAAGATGAAATACGACAGTCTGTATGTTTAGGATGGTAGAAACTGAGTTGACTGGACATGGATGAAGCCTCATTGTCGATAACTCGCTTTCTATGTATGCAGTAGTTAGAACAACCCTGCATGAACATATCCCAAAGCCTTGCGGTCTGCATCCACAGACATCTACCTTGCTAGCTATTTAGCTGGATACAAGCAGCTTCGAAGCCGCTGAGCTGACCCGTCACTTGCCGGCTGCTGCGTAGTTGGCACAGTTATCAATCTCAGCTCAACGGCGGCGGAGCACAGTTGGCAACCCAGAGTGTTTGCTGGATATTAACTCTTGGTCCTCTAGCTCGCCTTCCATTCATACTTGCGGTATCGACTTATTTTTAGCCTCCGGTGGCTGTATACCGTTACTGAAAGTTTGTACTATTATGCTATGCATCTGGGGACAGGTTGAAATGGAGCTGCTGGCTTATTAGCTATATCTAGTGGTAGAGAGCTTGGGCGATTCCGCCAATGTTCGTTAGAGTTAACTTTGTTGATCGAGCATGTCAAAAGCGCCCAAGGCCTGACCAAGGTTGGCTGCAGCGGATTGGCTATCTAGGAAGGGTTGGAAGAGTGCAAGGTCGAGGAAGCCGATGTCACCAACAAAATGGCTGAGATCGATATCTTCATTAGAGCAAATCCAGACCCCAGCAGGCGGCCAAACTAAAGACTAAAGACATGCCTTATAAGTAATGACCTTGGCCAACTCGCGTTTGCGGCGAAGAGGTCTAAGGAATCTGCATTAAAGGAAACGGTGGCCTCTGTGAAGGACAAGTTCGGCCAACAGAGCAGATTTGCCATCAAGATAGCAGCAGTCAAAGCGGGTTGACAGCGACTGTTGCATTCCTTACGAAGCGCAAAGAGGCCATTGCAAGGTCGGGATTGTCCAAACGGGTCTATTCGCGTCATGAACCTCATCGTTACTACCAGTTCCAAGAGCTGAAATCTAAGCAAAGACGGGAATGGTTTGGTTCTCGTTGCGACTGATAACGCGGTAGAGATGGTGATGTTGGTGATGATGGTGATGGTGATTAGTCATGCGATGACTTATAAATCCATCGAAAGTTGTGCATACAAGAACTTGTTCAGCTTTTCCAGCCTGGCTATAATACGTATATTATATACATACTACTGGCCCATTATTAGTTAGTGGAACTATTATTGATTGCTGAGAGCGCTTCTCCTACAACGCCACACGCAGGTCTTCGACGACGGAGCCGCCTTCTTTTCCCTTGGTGCGTCGTACAGTTCATATTCCAAGGTGGACGTCGTATCCACGGCCAGATATTAGTTACGCCCACAATTAATAGATAGAGGCCTAATCACAGCCCTGAAGCTTATCGAGGGATTGAGATACCGTCCAGCTGGATCTGATCCGACCTTGGTACGTATACAGCCATGTTCTTGGTGGCCTCATGGATCACTTCATCTTTGTCTTGATAGCAACAAACGATTAGCCATAATTAGTTAATGACCAAAAAAACCCCCTGTAGGAAACCCCCTGAGACTTCTCAGCCGCTTTGCTGCAGCTTGCTCGTCTTCCTCTCGCTCTGTCACCTTGGTTGGCCTACCAAATCTTGCCGTCAGCAGGTTGAAAAAGGCGAAGAGCTCATCAATCATCAGCTATGGAAGTAAGATACCGCTTCTTAATTCTGTTTCTTCTTCTCGTTTCTTTCATCGACTTCCCTCCCCCCTTTTTTTTGGGATTTTTCGTTCCTTTTTCCCATCAATGGAGCTCTCTTCCCCCGGTTTAGCCTGCCCAGTAACCCGCCAAATATGAAATGTCATGTCTTATTGTTTGCCTCCCGGGGTTAAGGTCCAAGCCAGCCAGCGTGGTACTGTCCCTCGGTGCTGATGAACTCCCCCCCTTTGACATGAATCACGATTGGCGGCTCTGGGAGACGCCATCGGCCTTATTGAGATGCGACTATAGCCCTGATCGGTTTATATTAATATTTCTTATCATCCGCCCTTGGTTAACTGGTTATCTCTCTTTCTCTCTCTCTTTCTCTGTTCAGTTCGTCTTTCCCTTCTTCTCTTCAGCCCTCGCCGTCACTGAATTGCTTCTTCCTCCACCCTTGCGTCGGCGTATCCGGTGGAATGGATACATCCTATACCCTCTAGATGCCACATTCCATAGCTCCAGGCTGTTCTCATACAAGCGTGTCTGCTGTTTTGATATATCAAACATGACAGTCGTGGGTATGCCATGTACGGTCCTGCTATGGCGCTGCACACAATTCCGTTAAAATACCTCCATATACCCCCAAATTCTACATAGATACCTTTTTCCATTACGTCCAGAATCTCCCGACTCAATTTCACGCCCCTCAACCTCATTCCTTTCCCCCTCTTGTTTGAGCCTATATCTATCCCCCAACTGGCATGAGACTCTGCCCTTATCATGTCGGCTACCCTATCCAGACGGTCACGCCCGGCCGACCAGGCGCAGGAGTGTCTTATATATTCAAACACCTCTCTCCTCCATGGTCAGCCTCCAGTAATCAAAACTAGGGCACAGCTAAGTCTTGAGGAAAACCTACAGGCAAACGCCTCTCACGCCCACACTGCCGTTCGGCATGCTCAGTTATCCAACCCGAAGTTCCGTGAAACTCGGCCACGTCTTCTGTTAATGGGCCTACGCAGGTCCGTAGCTGTCGTTCTGTTGCTGCTGCTTTTTTTTCTCAATCATATCTACTAATGCACTCCTTTCAGAAGCGGAAAATCCTCCATACAAAGTGTTGTTTTTCACAAAATGCCCCCAACGGAAACTCTCTTTCTAGAATCTACCACTCGCATTCAAAAAGATGCCATCCAGTAAGCCCTTCTCTGAAAAAGCGATATAAACCATTCTCTCTCTTTTTTAACGTTGAACGAACTGTAGCTCCTTTATGGATTTCCAAATATGGGATTTCCCTGGCCAGCTGGAGTATCTTGAACCATCATTCGACCAGGAGGAACTGTTCAGTAATCTGGGAGCCTTGGTCTGGGTTATTGATGCCCAAGATGACTACTTGGAAGCTGTGTCGCGGTTAAACAAAACCATACTTATGATCCAGCAGTACTATCCCCACATCAACATTGAGGTCTTCATTCACAAGGTGGACGGCCTCTCGGAGGAATATCGCTCTGACACCTTCCAAGACATCGTGCAGCGCATCTCTGACGAGCTGAGCGATGCTGGCTACGAGAACGCACCCATACACTACTACCTCACGTCAATATACGACTATTCTGTCTTTGAGGCCTTCAGCAAGGTGATTCAAAAGCTAATCCCTCAACTGTCTACGCTGGAGAACCTTATCAACATCCTTTCAAATAACTCTGGAATGGAGAAAACGTATCTATTTGACGTTCTCAGCAAAATATACATTGCTTCCGACACGAGGCCTGTAGATATGGCATGCTACGAAATGTGCTCTGATTATATCGACGTGATTGTTGACATTAGTGAATTATACTCCTGGGACCACCCGGACCGAAAACCCAAGGGACCTCAAGTCTCGGAAGCAGAGAGCCACGTCATTCTCCACGACAAGTGCATGATCCATTTGATGGAAATGAACAAGTAAGGCGGTCCTGTCGTCGCTCCTTGACTTTAGCTCCCGTTGCTAATATAAACTCTAGATATCTTTGTCTCGTTTCTGTGATCAAGAACCCGGATGCCAAAGAGAAGAAAGGGCTCATCGACATGAATTGCCGGACGTTTCAAGATGCCCTCAACGAGGTGTTTAGTAGAACATGGGATCAGGAGTAAACCATAGGCAGTGGTATCGGGCGGCTATCTGTGTTTTCAGCATCAATAATCAAACTTGAGAAGGGCAAGGCTATTCGAATAAGTTTAGAATCTCTTTACATGCCAGGGAGACCAAGGGATGAATTCCGTAACTAGACTTTGACGAAGGATAATCCAGTTATTTACATCTCTCTAGTCCTTGAGATTGTTCAACCATCTCTTAAATCATGCGGAATTACTTCTATGCTACGGTTGATCGTGAACTAAATAACTTATTAATCTGCGTCATCACAACATGTGACGCTTAACCGGTTACAGCTCAAGAGTGGTATTTTTTTTATCAACAGCAACCTCCAGCATTACCGTAACTCAAGTTTTCCTAGCTCTCTATTCGCTTTTGCTATAACTATCTACGAAAGCTGCGCAACTACGACTTTGAATTGCAAGCATATTTGTAATGGCGAATGTACGGTACAGGGCAAAGGTAACACCGCAAACTTCGACTACACGCAGCATGATAACAAGCTGACAACATTTCAAGGGCGGCAACTATCCTCAAGAAAGTCTGAACCCGTTCGATAGCTCCGTATACCCTGGCCGAAGATCAGCATTCGTGGAGGAATTGAACACAAGTGACGAGGAAGACGAGGAAGTCAGAGAAGCCAACCAAGCTTCAGAAAAGACAGAACAGGACTATAGCTCAAGCAGAATAGGGGTTGTTGATATACTACGGTTCATATTCCTGGTTATTACCGTATCATCAGGTCTATCCTACTACATTACCTCCGATTCGATAATATGGGGATATAAACGGCCGTGGTTCACACGACTACCAGTACTTGTGAGATATCTGGTGCGTGTTACATGCCCCAGTCCTCTCTCGCGGTGGTTTGATTTGAAGGTGCTAATGCTGTCCGATGATATAGAAAGGCCCTCTGATTCTCTCCCGTGCTGAATTGTCGTTATACAACGGCACAGACCCCGACCTCCCGGTATATGTCTCCGTCAATTACACAATATACGATGTATCGGCAAACCGACACATGTACGGCCCAGGAGGGGGGTACGGGTTCTTCTCCGGTCGAGACGCAACCCGTGCTTTTGTATCGGGCTGTTTCAAGGAAGACTTAACCTCTGACTTGCGCGGCTTAGAAGAAATGTATCTGCCCGTGGAAGATGTGCCAGATGAGGGATTGACCAACGCCGCAAAGAAGATTCGGCGAGAAAAGGAGCTCAGAGAAGCGCGAGCAAACGTCAAAAGGCAGGTTTTACACTGGCAGAACTTCTTCGCCGACAGTCACAAATACTTTGAGGTCGGCAAGTTGATACGTGACGGTGAAGATGAGCAAGGGGAGAAAAGAGAGCTGTGCGCGAGTGCCCAGGCATCAAGACCGAAGAGGTCTGAGATGAAGAAGGGTTCAGCCGCGAAGAGCCAACCTACATATCCTCCAGGTGTAAAAAAAGGAGGCAAACGCTGAGAGGTTTCCCATAACTTTTATATATACGGTACCAATTTTGAAACCAAAAAGTAGCAAGACAAGGCACTGGACGGTAATGAAATGCGCCATATCCGACACCAGGTAACATTGACTCCCAAAGCCGCCAACGATTGCTCAAATTGAATGGTAGCTGAAGCGATTCTTCCTTTTTTCTAATTCCGTTTCATTTTCGGATGGCTAAATATTAGATAACATTAAGCCTCATATGTGCCATGCAAAAAGGCCCTTTTTTCCCCATTTTCGTTCCACCCAATGGAATAAAAGAGCAGGCACTAATGGAAGAGGGGGGGGGGGGACGAGAAAAAGTCATAATATTTCTCGTCGTCGCTACATGAGATGATGAAACCGTGTCAAGTAAACGTAAGGTAACGCCGGAGTAATACAGAAGGAGAGCAAAAAGGAAATCCTAAGGGGTTTCCTTTACTCGGCAGCAACGGCACGGGCTAAATTAAGAAACCAAAACTGTTAGCATGTTCCCCCATGTCAAAGTGTTGAAACCGGATTTAAAACGGCGTCCATGCTGCTGCAGGAAAACGGAGGGTGTAGACGTACTGTAGATGTTCATCTTTGAGTGTCCAACAACCTTCTTGATCTGACCCTTCTCCTCGAGATCGGCAAGGGCCTGTCGGGCCAGAGAACCGTTGACCTTTAGTCTGTCGACAAGGGTCGCGACAGTGATCAATCGGTAGGACTGGACATCCTTATAGAGCTTCTCGGAGGTGGCCTTGTCGAGAATGACGGCGTGGGTGGCCTTGTCCTTGACTATACAGTTGAATCCCAGGGTCAGCGGTCTTGTTTTCTCCCACCCAGTTCTGTGCATTTTCCGCCCGCTTGATTCGATCGAGCATCGCCAGACAACTCGGAGTGAACCAACGCATCGTATCGCTTCCGCTGGGGGTTTCGCTTACCCTTTCCCTTTGACCACTTCTTCTTTTGCTTCTTGCCGCCGGCGGATGCTGATGGTGCCTTGTTAAACAGTCAGCAAAAGCCGTCCAAACTTCGGGGAGGAAAATATGCGCCCCCAGCAGCAATAGCAGCTATCCCGTACAGTCGACAATACTCACCATTTTGGATGAACTTGCGGATCGTTGTCGACAAGAGAAGAAGAAGAACAAGCGACAAGCAAAAAGGGAGAAACTTCGCTTTTCTTTTCTGTTTGTCGAAACCAAGAAAACAAAAAAATTCCCAAGTGGGGTATGACTAAGCATACAAAAACCCTAAGCCCTAACTACAAAGAGAAGTACTCGCTGCTTTAAGCCTTAGTCATCATTTATGTTGCTGTTTTAACGTATCCTTCCTGCGTTTCTGTTTTGGTGAGAGGAAAGTCGGCTTCGTCCATGGGAGGATGCGATGAGGCATCGATGTCGACCACTTTGTGCATCTGGGTCGACTGCCCCGTACCGACAAGGTAGCCCATCTCATACCCTCTCTGCCCTCCCACCCAGAAGAGACCGCCCATCTCTCTATCCGTCTTGATCCAGCCCGCGTCCGGTCGTCCTCGCAGGCCCCTTATTACGGTCCCGCGAGGGCTACGTCCACAGAGCCACTGGTGCACCGTTAGCACGGTGTCGTCTCCGCTCACGGTCATAAGAAGCTCGGGGATTTCGCTATTCCAGCATAGCTGCTTGATGCTTGCATTGTGGACCAGCGCTCCCGACAGTCTTGGTTTGCTGCCCTCGATCGACCACATCCAAGCTATGTTTGGCATGCTTTCATCAATAGTTACAGCTGTACTGCTCGTCGGGTTAAAAGATATATTGGAGACTATCCGGTCCTCAGCTGATAAATTATAAGTATACGGAAAGACTGGTGACTCTGGAGCCAGCATATATTCCGTTGTATCTGCTATGCTAGAGCCCTGTTCAACGTAAACATCACGCCCAATAGGCTCGACAGTTGGGTCTCCCAGCACTGCTACAAGCACAAACTGTTTTTGGTCCAGTAGAATAAGCATCATTCTCCTTGATGATTGCATGATTTTTCTGGCATGGGGTGATGGTAAGACTTACTGCTGTTCCGCTTATCAACTCAACAGTGCCATCGTGTCTGCCAATGGCCAGAAGTTGAGAATCTGGGCTCCATTCAATGGTTCTGACGCCAAAATCGTCGTCATCGTCTCCTGTTTTAGAACCTTCATAATTTCTGAACCATTGGCCGTCTGCCGTATAAACAACCACCATGGATCCTTGGCTAGCTGTGTCCCAGACAGCAATCCAATTTCCGTCAGGGCTCCATTTAAGGCCTCTCGCGTCCGTAGTAGCCAGGTTCACAGCCGTGATAACTTCATGAGTTTCAACTTCATGCAGAGATAGTACATCGCCTGTCTTGCCCTTTGACAAGAGAGCCAGGTGACCTGACTTGGGCCGAAACGCGTAGGTCGAATGTCCAGCAAACTTCGGAGCTTTGATAACTCGCTGTTGGCCCGACAAAAGAGAAAATATAGTCAGGTGTGTGTTGAATTCTGGTATAGCAATGACCTCGCCGGATGATGGAGAGAAATTCACATGGGTCAGCGTGGTATTCTCTCCAGCATCTATTTTGGCCGACCATGTCTCGTCTTTGGCGTCATAAACGAAGATTTTATTTCCACTTGCACATAAAACGCGCTGTGCTGTGGTATCATTGTCGCCTTGGGGATCTCGAGCAGCCCATTGTAAGAATTTCACTGGTCCAGTTAAGTCTTGTAGAGGGATTGGCCGAACATCCCCGTCTCCCTGGAGGGAATGGATCCTTAGCTCCTTGTCGGATATCGTTGCAGCATATCGACCGTCGTCGGACAGAGTAAGAGGCATCTCGATGTCCAGCGCTACGCTCTATACTGTGGAAATGCGAATTGATTTAAACAAGCCAGGATGATTAGCCACCCTTAACTACATCGTAGGTAAAAGGTTGGTTGGACAACAGGTCAGGGAGAAAGTCAAAATTTAGTCAAAAAATATCCACATGGATGGAGGCCCCAGCCAGCCGGCATTGTATATTCGAGTATCTATGGCTAGTAAATAAAATAAAGAAAAAAAAAAGTTCCTGTCTATTTATTCCAGAATACTAGGTAGGATATACCAATTTAGATACCAATCTAGATACACTGGGGAGTAGTGCAGCCCTACCCAAAAAGCTACCGCATATCGAGCATAAGATTATTTTGTCAAATCAATCACCTCAAATTGCCGTCTGCTGGGGCCTTCACCGGGGTTGAGCTCTGAAGTTGCCGAGCGTTTCCTCCCACTGGTATCTGCACTCCCAACATAGTCATCCACTGAGCCTCCCTTGATGACAATATCCAGAGCCATAAGTGATTTATATGCGCTAGATCCAACCAAGGCCTCCACCTCAGAGGCAGAACCAATGTTGTTGATATTCTTCACGGCGTCAACTGCTCTACTCTTCCACATCGTAGCCGGGTTGCCAAGCTTGGTAATCACCAATGTGAACGGGCTACCCACCCGACGGGTCTCATGGCTGATGGTTGGATCATTATTGAGTTTCTGGTGGATGTGAGCCCGACGGCCTGAAGAAATCTTGAGCTCCAGTGACTCTTGAACTGAGCTTGTCAAAAAAGCATTGAGTTCACGACAATCGCCACATGAGCAGGCTGAGTTTGCTGGGCGTGCCCAGCTTGACGTAGCTTGATTTCTCGGCTTAACGAATATCAAGAGATATTCCAATATCAGCCTGAGAACAAAACTGGTTTCCGGAGACCTGTCCTCACGATCCGGTGGAATTTGTGGGTTTAACACTATATATCGAAGAAATGGGACGAGTATCTCGGTAAAGGCTAGGTTGAGTGTCTTGCAGTTCCTCACAGCTCTGAGAATACCAACATGAAGAATGGATGTGGATATATCGAGAGATTGACAATTCCGGTAGACCTTGATCAAATCATGACTATCAACTGCCGAGCGGTCCAACTCAAGACATACCCTAACAGGTCCAGAGTACGACACACGTTTATCGATCGTGCCTTGGCCCAGATCGAAGTCTTCCATCAGATCTGTGATCGCAGACTGATAAAAGGAGGAGAATCCTTCCAAAACAAGCTTTCCTTTTAAAAAGGAATCCCCCAAGACTGAAAGATAAGATGCCACGACACCACAACCTGCTACCTGTTTTCTTAGCTTCAATGTCCTGTAGAATCAGTCAGAAATGATAGAAATAGTTGGTTGAAAGATAAAGGAGCTTACTCTTTTAGTTTATCGATTGCTGGATATAACTCAATGATGCGGACAATGGGATCTCCTTCGGCTTTGTCGCCGCCTCGAAATTTTGGCAGAATAGAGAGCAACTTGGCTTTCTTCCAATTTAGCAAGTCATCCCATTCTGCCGGTCTTTTATCATCTGGAAGAGCAAGGCAAGCTGAGACGAGGTCATCCACAGCAGTGGCTTGTTTAATGGGCTCCCCCTCAGCTTTGCGAATGATATTATCAAGGCTACGTTATGGTTATTAGAAAGCTATTGAGTTGGGGATATGGATATGATTCACGTACAACTTCTTGACGGCAGGATACTCACGGCCAGCCAAATTCTCTGCGATACATGGGTAGACATCAGGGTCGATAAAGGTTGAATGTAATTGGATCGAATTGTCGAATAACTTTGAATCTCCAATCTTATGGAGGCCTCGGGCCAAAATACTAAGGATAGGATCTGAAAATTTATTCCTGAACTCACTAGACCTGAACCAGCTACCTTTAGAAGCCGCATTTATCTTGTAATAAGCTTCATTGTGATGGAGGGTTAGTTTTGCAAGCTGCGTGAACTCTTCCCGTGACTTTGAGTCCTCAGGATTCTCTATCAGCGGTAACAAGTTTTTCAACCAGGCAGATAGCTCCTCCTCACATTCCGGGCGCATGCCTCGAAAGCGAAAATGGATATCTAAGATTTCGGGCACAATAACCGCAGCCTAGACATGTTATCGGTTTGCTGGTGCAACGCGTGGCGGCAAGGGATAACTCGATAATTGACCTACCGTATTTCGATAGAAATGGGCCACCGAAGTGCCTTCATTACCAGTGTAACCTGAAAAGTCCTCATCGGTAGGGGCTCCACGTAAGACGCGGCTTTGAATATACTCGATATTCTTAACGGGGATCTTGGTGCTGATGACGTTACCCTGCAAGTCGACTACTTTTTTCATGCTTGTGATATCATGGATTAGTTCTTCAATCTCGTAATATCCCTCCGTGTTGGGATATTCATCGCACGATCCAGTGACTGTCCGTTCAACATTCCCCAAATAAAGGCGGAAGCCTAACTCTTGACACGCAGCCTGGAGCTCAGCCATACGCTGATGATCCTTGCCTTTCATCCGTTGAAAGCTCAGGCTGGAGTCAGTGTACATGTGAGAAAGCTTGTACAAGAGCAAATCCGGTCCATCGGCTTCAACCCGGGATTTCCAGAGTTTCAATGCATTGACCAGTGGCGTGGTCTTGGAAGTGGGCGCTTTTGGTACATCGCTTGAGCCTTCGTGGATCAAGTTGTAGGTAAGTACCAGACGATAACCCGCAGTGATCGGTTGGACCTCGTGGAAAACGTCTGAATACCACGCAGCATATGAGAAACCAGCTCTCGATGTGGTGGAAGTTTTGAATACCAGACTTTTGTCATCATGCTTGAGAATTATTTCACCTCCTTCATGCTTTGTGGGAAGGCAGACGACCAAAGTAGCAAACATCCCATCAGCCTTTGGAGAATCCTGATGCGATAGGAAGAATGCTCCCTCCTCATAAAGGAGCAGTTTGTAAGGATCTGCCCTGATCGAATCCGCCTGATGAGCAATCCCCAGCCCCTTGCTGACATCGGCGACGACTTTCTTCATATAGTTCCCCCAGCCAGGGGCTTTGAGATCAAAATCAGCAACGTTCAGCTCCCAGCACTTCCGGACAGACGTGTCGACCAGGGTCTCGGCCCCTTTTCCAAACGGGCTTCTGTGACAGAGGTCGACGACAGCTTTGGCATCCTCCGGAGACAGCGGTAGATCCACCACACGACCCAGTCCGTTGATATGGAGGCTAGGGTTCAGCGACCGGTTTATAGAGTGGAAATAGGCAAAGTCTCCATTTGTGTCGATAGAACGCAGGGCTTTATCAATGGCTCCTTTAATCTCCACCGTCTCAACTGTATCTTCTTCGCTCTCTTCGCTCTCTTCGCCCTCAACCAAGTCGCTGGTCCACTCGTCACTCATGCTAGCAAACTGCCCTGATAGTACCCTGTAAGCTCGGGTATATCTGAACGCCAAAACAAATTGAACTACCTCAGAAGTGCTCAATGTCTCTCCTTCTCTCTTGTATATAATAGATCTACGAAGAAACAAAATCAACACGATCCTTGTTTCTTTTTGTCTTTTTTTATGGCTTTTAAGCGCGTCAACCTAAGGTGGTCACGTGAGAGAGTTTCAGCTTTTGCAGGTTTCTAAGAGTTGAAGGAGTCGAACTGATTAACGGCTGTTTGATAAGTCTAGAGTGATGCCAGATGGCAAGAGGAGAAGAAGTCGGTGATGATGGAAGGATTGTAGCGAAGTTGACACTGTCTCTCAACTCTCTTCTGGAGGGTAGCTAGATGTATGAGGCTGCCCGTGTTGTTTATAATACAGAACTTCCTCTGCTGATGCGCGTTGATGGTCCCACAGTCCGTCACATAAGAAACTCGTTGACTGGTTAACTGGCTGGTAGTTACTACATAGTTAAACGCCGGGATGTTGATTTGCCGCCTAAAATCCTAATCGGGTGTCCGACTCGCTAATGTTTGGTTGACTATATATCAAGACCATCTTCCCTCTGAGAGCTCCCTTATCAACTCAAAAACATACTCTTATGTAGCTGAGTAGCTCATAGACGCTCATCATGGTTTCTGGCAAGCAAGATCCTATCATCCTTGCGACCTGCAAGCAGACCCGCTTCCATCTAGCAGAGGGGAAAGGCTCAGGCGAGGTATGTATACTTCCCCATATCTGCGACTTTATATCCAAATAATATTTGAATGCCACTTTTAAACATGTTAACGTTTATCTAGATCGATATACAAGGCCTAGACCTACTTGTTGCCTCTCGTCCCTCTCAAGGCCAGGATGCAGAGTCTTCAGGCGCTGGGAAAGTGAAAGCGCGGAAGAAAGAGACAGCTGGTCTAGGTCTGGAGATTCTCACCAGTGCGACTCTTCGATTAAAGGCTGGGGTTCATTATGGCCTTGTCGGTCGAAATGGAACGGGAAAGTCAAGTATGGTGAACCATTCTATAACATATTACCGAAAGACAGCAGTTATGGTGTATTGACCTGTATGATTAGCCCTGTTACGAGCAATGGCAGACAGATTGATACCCGGACTGCCCGAGTCTGTCAAGATTGCGATTTCTCCAGCAAACTGACGTTGATGTTGATCCTCCACCCGCCAGTGACCAAAGGGGTCGCAACCGTTGCAAATCAATGACGAGCTTTCGAAAGAGGAACAAAAAACGGTTCTACAGCAGGTCGTGCAGAGTGATACATCGAGAAACGAGATCACACGCAAGGTGAAGAGTATGTCTTCTTCTGTACCTTTTTTGACGGTACATTTAAGCTGAATTTGATTGGCTGTAACTAGTTCTATCGCAGGCGTTGGAGGATCATGAAAACTCCCTGGCGCCGGTAAAGGCCATGAA